TAATATAAATTATTTTTTTTTTCTATTTAAACAGCTTGATCAAATGTTAAAGAAGAGACAAACTAAATTAGATGCTGTGGTAGAGTTTGGAATTGATGATAATTTGTTAATAAAAAGAATCACAGGTCGTTTAATTCATGCTAAAAGTGGTAGATCATACCATGAAGAATTTGCTCCTCCTAAAGAATATATGAAAGATGATGTAAGCAATAATAATTATTTTTATTAAATTTATAATTACAATTTGTAAATGAAATTAAAAATTATGTTGAGCTGCAAATAATTTTTTTGTTAATAGATTACTGGAGAACCATTAATTAGAAGATCTGATGATAATATAGAAGCATTGAAGAAACGATTATCCACATATCATACAGAAACTGTACCTTTGATCGATTATTATGCTTTACAAGGGATTCACTATTATGTTAATGCAGCTCGATCTAGTAAAGATGTTTTTAAAGATATTGATTGCATTTTCCTAAAAGCAACTAAACAACAGGAAAAAAAAGGTTTCTTTAGTCGATTCTTTTAAGATGTTCAATGAAAAAAAAATTACACCTCATTTTTTTCTTGTAAGTAAAAGGGCAATATGTAGTTAATGGGAAATAGTTTTAGAATCAAAATAACTTTCAGTAAAATTTAGCACACTTTAATATGATTTTGAATATAAAGACAATTTATGCTACTTTTAATCAATAGAATATATATTTTTTGTATATCTATAGAGTATATTTAAGACAAAATGTTAAAAAAGGAAAAAATTAATATGACTTTAATATTATTTTAATTGCCAACAATTTATATATTCAAAACATTATCACAAGCTAATAAGTCAAATGCACACATTTTAATAATAGAACAAGTTTAATTTAATATTTTGACATATGATTTATTATTTGACTGCATAATCAAATGACATTTATTTTTATATAATAAAAGGCATTATTTGTTTTTTAAAATTCTATTATAGAATATATTTTCATTTTTTTCTACTCTTTTGTTACTTTTGCTATTATGTTTATTTTGAAACATACATTTCTTAAGACTTTTATATCTTTTGTATAAAATATATTATTTCTTACATTTTTTTTTTTAATTTAAGTTTATATTTGGCAATTTTTAATATGAAACAAAAAATCCAATAATTAGGATATTTATATAAAATGTAAATATAAATGATAAAATTTTAAAAAAATAAAATTTCAATATTATTTTTTATGTAAGATTTTAATACATATATATATATATTATATACATATACATATATATATGTATATAATATTTTATACGCACATATGGTTTTATAAATTTTAATTTTGCATTTTAAAGCTAAAGAAAGAAATGTATGAATAGAAGATAATATATGTTTTAAGATATATTAGTAATACATTAGATTAAAATGTTTGTGCATTCTTAGATAATTTTCCAAGATGGCTATAAAATAAAATACAACATATACTAAAATCTATTTTCCATAATTCAAATATATACTAGTATACAATATTTCTGTATGTATATTGAAATATAGAATAAAATTTCTAATATTCTAAAATATTTTATTTTGTTTCTTTGAAAAAAGTGTGAATGAAATTATAATGATTAAAAGTGCGCGGTAAGCGCGCGGAGAGCGCCGCGTAATGTATCGCGCATGTGCATAGATTGCCAATTGTTCGTGAGTTTTGTGAGAAGCAGAGTTTGGGATAAATAAGTTTTTCCGCTTGTCGATTGGAGGGATAAAGGGGTAGAACCAGAGAAGGAGAATTTTTTCAATTTCTCAGTGGAAAACTGTGTTTTCCGTGTGCTGAGGGCCGGTGGCCGAGTGATGCACGCATATGTCTAGGCTCGGGGGAACTCAGGTTCTAGCCACAGCACAGGTGAAGAGGACGGCTGCTGATCACGCAGCGGTGTTAAATTTTGGTGCTGCAAAACGCAGCAAGCTGTCCGCCGTTGCGGTCACGGAGATCAACGAGATTGAAAACATGACGGATACGGCTGCAGCCACGACTGATACCCAAAAGAGAGCCAATTTCTCAGCTTTAACTGTTGGGAATCCAAACGGCGTCAACAAGATTTCACCAAGTTTGGCAAGCGCAAAACCTGGTACAGCTAGAAAACTCGTCATCAAAAATTTCAAAAGTAAGCAAGACCATGGGACTACTTAACCTCAAAATCAGCTGCTACTGTTCATGAAGATTTTTGGTGTAATTTATGATTGGCAATGTGCCTTCGTGGATTACGACATCTTTTTTAACATGATTTTGTAATTTTTGTGATATTCTTTTGCTTCATATTATTTAACGAAGGTCAAATTAATTCTAAATGCGATTAATAAAAATAAGCTGACATAACCTAACTTGACATCATGAAAGAATGAAATGAATAAACGTCTTTAAGACGCATTACTTGTTCTTTATATATTTATTAAAAATTTCATATTGATTGTATAATTAATTAAATATGTTAGTTCGTGTATTTATATTTTTAATTTTATTAAATAAAAATAAAGAATAAGTACGAATGAGCTATTTTAGTAATAATAGAAATTTCAAATTAAAACGTATTTATGATTCAATTTATATTTTTCAATTTATTATTATTATTTTTTTATTTTATTTTAAAATAAATTATTTTTTAAAAAAAGGATATAAAAGACATTGTATCCTATATATGTATTATTAATACATATTGATTATAAAAAATATATTAATAAGTAAAAATATTTATAGAATGAAAATTATATTTATATAAGAAATAATAATAAATACAAATATTATATTAAAAATTTTATATAGATAAACCAAAATTACCAGAAAATTATCAAGAACAGACATGGGAAAAATTACAAGAAGCTGTAATAGCAATACAAACTAGCAAGAGTATTCGTTATTCATTAGAAGAGCTTTATCAAGCAGTTGAAAATATGTGTAATCATAAAATGGCATCCACATTGTATACAAAGTTAACAAGGTTAACAGAAGCACATGTGCAAGCAAATATAGAACAATTTTTAGCAGAATCAATGGATAGGCATATATTCTTAAAAAAAATGAATGAATGTTGGCAATCACATTGCAGACAAATGATTATGATTAGAAGTATTTTTCTATATTTGGATAGAACATATGTATTACAAAATCCAAGTATTTTATCCATTTGGTATGTTTAAAAAATTTAAAAATGTTATTAAAAATTATTAAAAATAAATTTTTTTATATTTTTTTGCTCAGTATTTGTATTATTTTAGGGATATGGGTTTACATTTGTTTAGAGTGTATATTGTTTTGAATAACTTAGTTCAAACACGTACAGTAGAAGGATTACTTATGCTCATAGAAAAAGAACGTCAAGGTGATACAGTGGATAGAACACTTCTTAAATCATTGTTAAGAATGTTATCAGATCTACAAATCTACCAAGATGCCTTTGAAACTAAGTATGATTTTATATATATATGTATATATACATATATATTATATATTTTATTAAGTCTTTATTTCTATAGATTTTTGGTTGCTACTGAAAGACTATATGCTGCTGAAGGACAACGACTGATGAATGAACATGATGTTCCTGAGTACTTAGCACATGTGGACAAACGACTTCAAGAAGAAAATGAACGTTTGTTACATTATTTGGATGCATCTACAAAGTGAATATTTATTTTATATCATATCAATAATTAACTAATTATACTAATTATAGTATTATTATTAATTAATATTAATTTAATATTATAGATGGTCCTTAATACACACAGTAGAAAAGCAATTATTGTCTGAACATATTACCAGCATTTTACAAAAAGGATTAAGTGGTTTACTGGATGAAAATAGAATTAATGATTTATCTTTACTTTATAATTTATATAGTCGAGTGAAAAATGGCCTTGTAGAACTTTGTCTAAACTTTAATTCTTATATTAAGGTATTTTATAAATTGTTCAAATATTTACAATTTTAATTATATGTAATAGATACATTTTTTATTTTTGTTCATAGAAAAAAGGTAAAACCATAGTTATAGATCCCGAAAAAGATAAAACTATGGTTCAAGAACTCTTAGATTTCAAAGATAAAATGGATAATATAGTTAACACATGTTTTCATAAAAATGAGAAATTTGCAAACAGTTTAAAGGAAGCTTTTGAAGCTTTTATTAATCAACGTGCGAATAAACCTGCTGAATTAATAGGTAATATTGTATTTATTTGAATAATAATATTTATTATCCATATTTAATTTATTTTTTTTTAATTATAGCGAAATTTGTTGATTGTAAACTTAGAGCGGGTAATAAAGAAGCAACAGAAGAAGAATTGGAAAGATTATTAGATAAAATCATGGTATTGTTTAGATTTATACATGGAAAAGATGTATTTGAAGCATTTTATAAAAAAGATTTAGCTAAACGTTTATTAGTTGGTAAATCAGCTTCTGTTGATGCTGAAAAATCCATGTTATCCAAATTAAAACAAGAATGTGGAGGAGGTTTTACTAGTAAATTGGAAGGAATGTTCAAAGATATGGAACTTAGTAAAGATATTAATATTGCTTTTAAACAGGTAATAATAAAACTTATGTTTAATTATTTATTTTTAGTTTATTTTTAATTTAATACATTTACAAATTATTTTTTATATATTATTTATTTAATTATATGATTGTAAAACTTTTTTTATATTTTAAATTAGTATGCAGGAAATTTGCAAAGTGAATTGTCTGCTAGTAATTTGGATTTAACTGTTTCAATACTTACAATGGGTTATTGGCCAACATATCCTGTAATGGAAGTAACATTACCACCAGAAATGGTTCAATATCAAGATGTATTTAATAAATTTTATTTGGGCAAACATAGTGGTAGAAAATTGCAATGGCAACCTACTTTAGGGCATTGTGTATTAAAAGCTTGGTTTAATCAGGTATTATTGATATATGAATGTATTAAATTTATATTAAATAGTTAATTATATATTCCATAGAAATATTTCACTTAAATGTCAAAATAGGGCAACAAAGAACTTCAAGTTTCATTGTTTCAAGCATTGGTGTTAATTTTGTTTAATGATGCTGACAATTTGTCCTTGGAAGATATAAAAGCAGCAACAAATATAGAAGATGGTGAACTTAGAAGAACTTTACAATCTTTAGCTTGTGGAAAAGCCAGAGTGTTACAAAAAAATCCAAGAGGAAGGGATGTTGCAGATAATGATAGATTTGTTTTTAATGCAGACTTTACAAATAAATTATTCAGAATTAAGATAAATCAAATTCAAATGAAAGAAACGGTATGATCTTTTAAATAATTATTTTTTTTTACATAATACATAATTAAAAAATGTATTATTTATTTTAGAATGAGGAACAAAAAGCTACAGAGGAAAGAGTATATCAAGATAGACAATATCAGATAGATGCAGCTATTGTTAGAATTATGAAAATGAGAAAAACACTTTCGCACAATTTGTTGATTAGTGAATTATACAATCAACTTAAGTTTCCTGTAAAGGTATTGCGGTTTATAAAATAATATATATTATGAAGATTTTAAATATATTGAATTATATAATTATGAAAAAAATTTTTCAGCCTGCAGATTTAAAAAAGAGAATTGAATCTCTCATAGATAGGGATTATATGGAACGAGATAAAGATAATGCAAATGAGTACAATTATGTTGCATAACCTGAACCAAATACCAAAGTCATTTTAGACTGGGTGGTCACTGTGTTTTTTAGCAAAAAAACCAATTTGTTTT